AATTTAATAATGATTTCTGTCCTTTCCTATTGGAACCCACCTAACTTTCTGGTTCCTTTTATTGGCCCACATCCTGGCTTCTGGTTCATTGCTTCAGATTTGAGCTGTAGTGTATTTGCCATTGGTCAATGGCAAATAAAAACATGTAGCTAAAAAATTTTCTTTCTTTTAACAGCCTCCAGTGAAGTATCAATAACATGAGAATAGAGAACAAGTTTTCCCTTTTCTATTTACATGTGTTATATGTATCTCATGATTCTGTGCTGTTTCTACTTGCCTCATTTATTGCTTGACCTTTGAAAGGTAATGACTTGCCATTATTTTTGTAGGTCTGCAAGCTTGTCCCTGTTTCCTGCTCTTCACCTTTAGCCCTTAACTGAATAGTTTCATCTGCTACACTTGATATGGCTGCAGTAGCTTTTCACTTGATACAAGTGTCTGTTGTTGATTCAGATTGTGCTCCAAAGTGGCCTTGAATATCCAACCATCTCCATGTGAGAGCAACTATAACATAGTGATAACAACATTTTTGTCCCCTAGTTCAAAGGAGCTAATTCAGAGTGACTTTGATTTGGTGGAGATAGTCATTATAATTATTGAATATTGTTTATTATGAGGTTTAGAGAAGACATTAATACCAGTCATTCCCTGAAAAACAGCAAAGTTGTTACGTTCAGACCTTGTAGTATGTAGTATGTGACTCTTCTTTGCCAGAAATACCTTCCATAAATGTTTTATAATAGATCTATGAAGAGGGGCCCATTTGTACTCTTTAGAATATAAGAAAACAAAGTGGTAAAACAAACTACAGCCACTCTAGGTTAATAATAATCTTCTGAATCTCCAACTTGAAGAACGAGACCTAAGAAAGGATTTAAAAATAAAAATGAAGGATGGGTCGTTTTATCAGTGTAACTTAGTCCAACTAATATTTGGAGGCATTGAAATGTCTTTTATTTTTGTCCAAAGCCTTCCTTCTTACTAATTATAGCCCTGTAGTTCATGAGATTTGTTTGGAACATGATGAGCTCTGTATTTATTGTAGCTTTAAATGGATAGTCATTATTGACTGCCAACTTAGTCTTTAAAATCAATAATCACATTGCACCTAATTGTCAACCTTCATGATCTTTTTTAATTGAAGAAAACTAACTAGAAAAATGAAGAGCATTAATTTTTTTATGTTATCTCTTTGCTGACTTTTATTTAAATATTACCGAAAATTTTGGTTTCAGGTTTTTCCTAATTTACTTTTTACACATGCATGCACAGAATTAAAATTAAGTTGTTTGAACACATCCACCTAGATTCCTGCCCAGGTGGGAGAAGTTCTGCCTCTTTATGTTTGGAAAATAAACCTCTTCAGTAGTCCTTTGTAGATGTTCTGTATTGTGGTTGTTTGTTATGATTGTTTTTTACTTGAGACTCATAATCTGTTTGCAACTGACTGAGACAGAAAAACGTGATGTTCCTTTCCACTCACTCCAGATTTTGATAGAAGACTTGTTTTATTTATTTCCAAAATTATATCCGCAGGAAACAAGCTGTTTAAATTCAGATTATGCTGAAGCAAAATGGTCCTGGTATGAGAAGCAACGTGCTGTTTTACGAGCACAGAGTCCCTTTTCTCATAACTGATTGATAGTAAATATTTTCCTGAAGAATTATTGCCAACCATGAACAGTGCAACGGTTTCACTTTTTTTTCGTGCTACTTGCTGTACCAGCCATTGTCGGTAATTAAGATCTACAATTCACAATGCAGACGTTTGCACTTCCTCTGGGTCTGCGCTATTTATAAGGCATTTCAGCTGTTCAGAGTTTCTTTTGAGTTTTAAACTACATGTTAACAGGCTTCTTTAATACACTGTTCCACAAGTAGCATGTCAAATGGGCCATTCTTTGCACAGGCCTCTCTTTCGGGTCTAAACATTAGCTTTGTGGAGAATATGTTAAGATTTAACCATATCGTCGAGGCCAGTGAGGTTGGAAAAACTCTGGAATATAACATGTTACACATTACCATATTGCTATTTCAAAAAGGCAGGAATAAAATTCAGATAGTACTATTTTTTTCTTTCATTTTCAAATGGGTCATGTGATTTTAATGAGTGTTAATGGGAGTTATAGAGAGGTTCTGAGAAATACTAGTAAAGTGACTTTTCCCAGCTCACTTTGAGGTAATACTCAGGGACCATTGTTATAAACAAGAGTTTATGTGTTTGTCAGGTTAAGGATGCAGGAACATAAAACCTTCTAGATGTGCATGATATTTAGGAATACAGACTGGGATACCAAAGTGGATCAGCAGATCGACTGCACATTTGTTGTATAATCATCTTCAGGAACCCTAAGTAGCATATGCCGTTGGAGAGGAAAGTGTGAACAGGAATCCTGGTCTGAATTAATTTGGTAAAATTTAGGATCATTTTCAACCATTTCAAGAGAGTTAATTGCAAAAGAAAAAAAGAAGTCCAGACCCCAGTGAGCATCTTCATGAATTATGCCCTTGAGTGAGAGAACTGCTTACACAGTCTCCTTACTACCTGCGCTCATTGCTAAACACACTGGAGAAAGAAACAAGAAGCAGAAAGCTGTCAACAAAATATGTGTAAAACTTTGCCACAAGTGGGGATCAGACTGGCTGTGTTAAGCCTGAAGCCAGCTGCATTGATTCTACGTGTTGGCCGCCAGCATCTTCCGGCAGAGCAGACCTTCAGAGAAAGGCAGACACGGGTTTCCATGCTGATTCTTGATGGGCCCTTGAATATAGACAGAGCTTCAAACAAAGCCTTTCCAAGGCAGTTTTATTTGCCAGAACCTGAAACTTTCTGTAGTTCTTTTGAACTGCAATGTTTCTGTAAACTTTTTTTCCTCAGTGAACTCTTTATGAACCTTTTTTTTAAGATAGCAGCAGTGGTTCAACTGCTGAGAACCACTGATATATCTGACTGAGGCACTTCAAGACGCTAGGACCTATTCACATTTCTCTCTAGCCAGGGAGCTAATAAGATTAAGTTTGTCTTTGTGGATTGGTCCAGATTAGCAGATGAGCCCAGTCAGTGTTTTCCTCAGTGAAAAAGGAAAGGTTGGGAGAGAGAGGGGTGAAGGAAGAAAGTTCTTCATCAAGAATTGACTGCAGTATTGCCTGCTGATGCATGTCGGATCACCCGCATCGAGAGATCACATGGCTTCTCCAAAAGTCAAACGATCAATTCGCCTCGTTTTGGCTCTGTACTTAATGCACAAACAGTGCGATCTGCGGGGCTGTAATTGCATTGTTAGGGCCAAGGAACAAGCCTGTGCCTTTTCAGCAGACAGCTGGCAGGGAGAGAGGCATGTTGTTAGGAAAGAGAGAGGCAAGGCAAATAAAATTACTGCTAACGCTCAGAGATCGGCAGGAGTCCTACTTGCCTAATCTTACCGGTGGGAGCAAGCGGCTGTTGTAATCCAATTATAGCAGCATAAGCAATTTGTTAGACACTCCGCATAATGTAACAATTTCCCAATAAACTCTGACTTGTAATAACGTCGGCAAGAGTCCGCATAAATCTGCCCGAATGGTGGGGGCTGGAGCGTTCGGCTGGGGGCTTGTAATTGGCGCCATCAGCACGTTTTGTGGAGTGCAGTATGGTGCAGTCTTTTAGTGCAGGAATTTTAAGGAGAAAAGCATGGCACACGTTTCTTAGAAAAAGAAAAGTGGCCATTAAAAGGGGAGCAGCAAGAAGGGCATACTCTTGCCTTCACGTTACCTAGGAGTGTTAGTGTAGAAAGAAAACAGGAGGAAGCCATGTTTCCTTCAATACTAAAGGGGGAGAAGGGGGAAGAGTATGCGGACTAAATTTCTTTTTTAAAAAGCATCAGTTTATATTATTTATACTCCCCTTCTCCAGTCCCCCAAAATGCTGTTCAGGCAGCATTCAGCTAACATTTTTACAAAATGCTCATAGCCAGACAAGACTAGAAATGCCAAGTTTAAATCTGTTTTCTTCTAGTGTTTAGCATTTTCTTTACAACAGGAAAATATATTTTCTTTGTGCACAGAATAAATCTTTTAATTATCTCATTGACTATCAAACCTTTCTGTAGAGTTCTGCCTTCCGCTTTAAGAAACCGTCTCTTACTGAAGGATTTAAAACCTAGCTTGTTTGCTTAGCTGGCTTCACAACATTGCTTATTTTCTATTCCACAATATATTGTGAATGTCTGTGATACTAGGGTTAGTCATCTTTCTTGTTGAATGTTTACATTGTACAAGAATACAGTTTTTCTTATTTAAAACCATACCTGTATGATCATTATAGAAATAATTTTGATTCCTAAGTCATAAAATTTCTGTTTTGGAAAAATATTTGTTGTTGTGTGGAGCAGAATAGAACCTCCATTATTGATTGATTGATTAGCGTTTGTAGTCACAGTATAGAGTTTATTTATACAAGGTATAGGAGGTGAGGAGTGCTCCTAGATTTGTGTTAATAGACAGATTTTCATGCTACTGAGTGTGTATTAAATGTTACCTACTTTCTTATGCCAACCCAACTCTTCATTGTTGTTAATTTGTGTCAAAACAAAGCTTCTGAAATAAGAACAGGATTATTCAAAATATCATGTTGCTGTGGGTATTATTACACTAAATATTTACTTTCAGTATAAACACTTCCTTCTACTGAAGCAAATGCTGCCTTGTTTGACTGGAGCTACATCAATAAACTGCAGTGCCTCTAATAAAGCCACTCAGTGTCTGGGTTTAACTAATGGCTGATTTTCATGGCTTTGACAGTGAGCTGTGTGCGTTATTTTCTCCTGATATTGTAAAAATAATGAGAGCAAATTAGAACAATCAGTTTACACAGATAGCTCCTGATTGGAGGCGATGGGCAATATGGCAGCAGGTAATCCATCTTCGGGCTCCTGTCACATTAACTTCAGCAGTGTGAAAAGATCAGGTGGGGTAAGCAGGGATCCTGCCCAATCAGAACACTGAAATTAATGAGAAGAGCATTGTTCTGTGATCAACCTTTTAATTAGCAAGATTGGAAACGCAGGGAATGATGAAGGCAGCACCACAGCTGCACAGTGCCAGGCACAATTCCTGAAAGGGGGAAGAAAGAAAAAAATCTGTGGGTTTTACATCATATTTTTGTTGCTATATACAGGCATTATGTTTCCACTCGAGAGCTGGTTTACAGACTTTACTGCCTACTTTGCAAAGTAATTAGTCACAAATGTAGTTGATGTATTAGTGATCTATAGGCTGTAATTCTGTCAGGGGTCATTTAGGTTTTGATTACCAGTATACTTTCTTTGGCATTGCACATTGGGTTTTAATTTTTTATTTTTTTCTAATCAAGGAAGCAAAGAAATCAAATTTTAAGAAGGTCTTTCTGGTCGACCTCCCACCACCCAATCCCTCCAATTTATAGAGTTTTTCTTGCAAGTAGCATGAGAGTTTTCTGGTTTGGAGCACTTTTGTCACTTGGAGTTATTTACAAGAGGTGCAAAGTCCAGGCAGTAAGCTAAGGCATATTTAAATTGTGTTCCTTTCCTGGTTCTGTTTATTAGGAAAATAACTGTTTTTCCCCCTGCCATTGACTTCTCAGTGTTGAGGGCTGTGCTATTTCAATTTATATAATTGAGAATTGAATATCAATGAAGTATGGTGTTTATAGGAGGAAGGGGGGTGGAATCTATGCAGTGACTGAGACTAAAGGCTGATTCATTCATTTAAAGCTCAGTTATACTAAAATTGAAACCTTGTTAATTATCCCTGTAATATTGGAAAATGTGGTATAAAGCTATGGAAGATATTAATGAGCCAGATTTTCCCTGCCATATCAGTGCCTGTTTTCTAGGCCTACTTTGACAGGCTTTAGCTTTGGGAAAGGTATGAGGTTTTCAGTATTTTAATCTTTATACCTTAAGCTTAATTGCTTAGTGTAAAAGCAAGAATATAATGTATGATATGTAAATGAATCCAGTTATCTTCCAAAGACTATAAAATAAATTTGTGGGTTTTTTTATATTAACAGTTAATTGACTTAGGCATTTATTTAAAGTACTAATACATAGGGGCGCCTGGGCGCCTCAGTCTGTTAAGTGTCTGCCTTCTGCTCAGGTCATGATCCCAGAGTCCTGGGATCGAGCCTCAGGTTGGGCTTCCTGCTCAGCAGGGACATCTGTTTCTCCCTCTCCCCCTGCTTGTGCTTTCTTGTTTGCTCACTCTCTCAAATAAATAAAATATTTTTTAAAAAAATTAAAAAACATAAAGTACAAACACATAAAAACCAGTTATCAGGTACCCATCTGAGTGCAGAATTAACAGTAAAGAGCCTAAAGTATAGTATGAAATATTGAGGTTAGGTGTCATAGTTATAGTTAATAGTTAATAGAACTTTTTTCATTTTATTTATAACTAATGGAGATTCTAGCCTTACAGCCCTAAGATGCTATATTTATAGAAAGTAAGTCCTTGATATTATACCCCTATGCAAAACCTATAGAATAAAGTCACTTCACTTCCCTGTAGTACCCATCTCCCACCCCCTTCCCCCCCAAAATCTTTAGTATACATTTTGGAATTCTGTCAGAAACCTGATTTTTGGTTTGATTTGGTTTTTTGATTGATAGCAAGCTTTTCCTGAAAATATCATCTTCAGTATTTTAGGATCAGTGACTTAATATTAAATAGTCTCTAGGACATCCCCCCCGCCCACACACACACACTCTAAGAGAATGGTGCTACTGTGCATATTAATATTTTAAAGCCCACTTGTAGAATTTTGGGTGATACTTTTCTACATTGCTTAATCTGGAAGAGAGATTTTTATACTTACAGCTTTTATGAATTTTTGTGCCTGTTCATTTTCCTCTCTCCTAGTTTGACAGAAGCCTGGGCTCATAAGCTGTCCATGGATGCGTTCTTAGTCATATGGTGTAAATAGATCACTTACAAAGCTTGTGTAACTTGAGCTCTCCTTTTGAGCCTTTCAGTACGCATGAGCTCAGGATCCATATATGTAAAATCTTACTCTTGTGTCATGACTTCAGCTTGTAAGGCAAATGAGCTATGAATTTACATGACTATTCTACTCTATACCAACTTTCTATAAAATAAAATTAGTCTTTTTCCTTTTTTTCCTATGATTCTGGATTTCCATCTGACCTAGTGATCTTGCCAATATTTGTTCTTTGTTGTTAGAGTTCTTTTCCAGTAAGATTTGCTCTGCAAGGTCAGTGTTAAATAAAAGTCTCTTTTTTTTTTTTTTTTTTTTTTTTTTTTTTTATTCTTATGTTAATCCCCTTACATTACAACATTAGTTTTAGATGAAGTGTTCCATGATTCATTGTTTGTGCACAACACCCAGTGCTCCATGCAGAATGTGCCCTCCTAAATACCCACCACCAGGCTAACCCATCCTCCCACCCCCCTCCCCTCTAGAACCCTGTTTGTTTTTCAGAGTCCATCGTCTCTCATGGTTCGTCTACCCCTCCGATTTCCCCCGCTTCATTCTTCCCCTCCCGCTACCTTCTTCTTCTTCTTCTTTTTTTTTTTTCTTAACATATATTGCATTATTTGTTTCAGAGGTACAGATCTGAGATTCAACAGTCTTGCACAATTCACAGCGCTTACCAGAGCACATACACTCCCCAGTGTCTATCACCCAGTCCCCCCATCCCTCCCACCCCACCCCCCACTCCAACAACACTCAGTTTGTTTCCTGCGATTAAGAATTCCTCATATCAGTGAGATCATATGATACATGTCTTTCTCTGTTTGACTTATTTCACTCAACATAATACCCTCCAGTTCCATCCACGTCGTTGCAAATGGCAAGATCTCATTCCTTTTGATGGCTGCATAATATTCCATTGTATATATATACCACATCTTCTTTATCCATTCATCTGTCGATGGACATCTTGGCTCTTTCCACAGTTTGGCTATTGTGGACATTGCTGCTATAAACATCGGGGTGCACGTAGCCCTTCGGATCCCTACTTTTGTATCTTTGGGGTAAATACCCAGTAGTGCAATTGCTGGATCATATGGTAGCTCTATTTTCAACTTTTTGAGGAACCTCCATACAGTTTTCCAGAGTGGCTGCACCAGCTTGCATTCCCACCAACAGTGTAGGAGGGTTCCCCTTTCTCCGCATCCCCGCCAACATCTGTCGTTTCCTGACTTGTTCATTTTAGCCATTCTGACTGGTGTGAGGTGATATCTCATTGAGGTTTTGATTTGGATTTCCCTGATGCCGAGCGATATTGAGCACTTTTTCATGTGTCTGTTGGCCATTTGGATGTCTTCTTTGGAAAAATGTCTGTTCATGTCTTCTGCCCATTTCTTAATTGGATTCTTTGTTCTTTGGGTGTTGAGTTTGATGAGTTCTTTATAGATTTTGGATACTAGCCCTTTATCTGATATGTCATTTGCAAATATCTTCTCCCATTCTGTCGGTTGTCTTTTGGTTTTGTTAACTGTTTCCTTTGCTTTGCAAAAGCTTCTTATCTTGATGAAGTCCCAATAGTTCATTTTTGCCCTTGCTTCCCTTGCCTTTGGCGATGTTTCTAGGAAGAAGTTGCTTCGGCTGAGGTCAAAGAGGTTGTTGCCTGTGTTCTCCTTTAGGATTTTGATGGACTCCTGTCTCACATTGAGGTCTTTCAACCATTTGGAGTCTATTTTTGTGTGTGGTGTAAGGAAGTGGTCCAGTTTCATTCTTCTGCATGTGTCTATCCAATTTTCCCAACACCATTTGTTGAAGAGACTGTCTTTGTTCCATTGGACATTCTTTCCCGCTTTGTCGAAGATTAGTTGACCATAGAGTTGAGGGTCCATTTCTGGGCTCTCTATTCTGTTCCATTGATCGATGTGTCTGTTTTTGTGCCAGTACCATGCTGTCTTGATGATGACAGCTTTGTAATAGAGCTTGAAGTCCGGAATTGTGATGCCACCGGCTTTGCTTTTCTTTTTCAATATTCCTCTGGCTATGCGGGGTCTTTTCTGGTTCCATACAAATTTTAGGATTATTTGTTCCATTTCTTTGAAAAAAGTGGATGGTATTTTGATGGGGATTGCATTGAATGTGTAGATTGCTCTAGGTAGCATTGACATTAAAAGTCTCTTTTTTGAGGGCATCTTTTTTTTGTATATATTAGTAATTACAGAATGTCTAACTAGCTGAATGACCAAGAAACTCCTTTTTGTTTCCTAACAGAGCTAGAATTACCAAGTCACCTTAAATTCTACTAATCCCAAATCTCATGAATAGGGTTCACTTTAGAGAAATTTTCATTAGTCTAGTCCTTTGGAGCTCACCTAATACACCTTTATTTAAAGTTCTTATGTATAGGACCAGTTGAATCTCTGATGCTGTTACAGTCCTTTCTAAGTTCCCCATCCCCCTGATTTTTAGTTTAGCGATACGTTCCTATATAAAAAATTGGAAGGGGTGCCTGGGTGGCTCAGTAGGTTAAGCATCAGCTTTTGGCTCAGGTCATGATCCTGGGATCAAGCCCCATGTTGGGGCTCCCTGCCCAGTGGGTAGTCTGCTTCTCCCTCTACCTCCTCCCCCACTCATGCTGTCTCACTTTCTCTCAAATAAATAAAATCTTAAAAAAAAGAATTGGAAAATGGCCATTTTTTACTCCTGTATCTTCAGGATAGAAGACCTTTTTTTTTTTTTTTCCCTTCTACTTTGTACTCCTCAAGAGTTTGAGGAGGAGAGAGAATATGTTAATATTTACTAAGCCCTATGTTTAGGCACTACAGTGCTGGCTGTGTTATCTATTTCTTTCTTTCTTTCTTTTAAGATCCTATTTATTTGTTTGACAGAGAGCAAGAGAGCACAAGCAGGGGGAGCGGCAGAGGGAGAGGGAAAAGCAGGCCCCCGTTCAGCAGGGAACCTGACACAAGCCTCCATCATGACCTGAGCTGAAGGCAGACGCTTGCTTAACCGACTGAGCCACTCAGGTGCTCCAAGAATATGTTAATATTTATTAAGCCTGATGTTTAGGCTCTATAGTGCTAGCTGTGTTATCTATTTCAGACCTTATGTGAACCTGATAAGATGGATGCATATCCCCTATTTTATAGATAAGGAATCTGAAACTTAGAGAAGTTAAGCCTTTTCCCAAGTTTTCACATCCCTAAGTTGTAGTGTCAAGTTTTGAACTCCAATCTCTCTGACTTTAGGGTCCTTTCTGTACTACACCAGCTTGCCTTTCAAATAGTATTTGGAGGCCCTATAGATCTCTCCTACCATTATACTTGGCTTCACACTACAAAGCACCTATAGCTTTTTTCCATTTGATTTCTGTAACACTTTTGACATCTAACAAATGTTATTTCTTCATCTCTCCTTTATTGCTTGTAAGATATGTTGGTCTGACTGAACTGAGCCAAATACTGTATGCAGAAAACTTAACTATCTCTATTCTAGGCTACCTAGTCAGTAATTCTGCTATGTAACTTCAAATGCTTACTCAATAATAATCACCTACCTTATCAACATAGGTCTTTAAAGTATCTAAGATGACCTCATGGCTCCATGCTCCATGTTCTACATATAAAATGAGTGGGACAGCATGAGTCCAATACAGCCAGCTCAAGGTGGTGACTCACACCTTCCTAATTGTTTTAGAAGTTGTTTTGGAATACAGATCTCATCCTATTGTCTGTGTCAGGATTTACATTGTAAGTATATATTGGCAGTTCTTTTATACCAAAACTTTATTTTTCCTGATTAAGATTGGTTATTAATTTTGTCAATTAAAAAAAAGTTTCCCTTAAGGCTTCCAAGCATGAAAACACTTCAGTAAATATTTTTATATTTGTTTACATGCATCTAGATAGATTGGTGATTGCAAAGATGTGGTAAGGATATCAGAATTAATAGTTGGACCTTAAAATCCTCTGTTTCAGAGAGGAGAGAAGCAGCTTGGGAGAGGAGTGAGTCATTATAAAGAAACATTGAAAGCAAATGAAAACAAAAAGCAAACAGACATGACTATTAGCACGTACACACACATAGAATCTCCCTGCATATTCTCTAATGGAAAGAATAGAAGTTTTTGATAGTTATGGTTGACATAAATTTCATGCTCAGACTTGTAAAAATATGTAAGAAATACTTGGCTCACATGGAGCACTAAGACTATGACAAACAGGAATGTTGAAATATTTCTAGAAGAGTGAACTAAATGTAATTATATTTTATATGTCAGACATCATTTCTTTATAGACATTTTCTTGGAATATCTAATAGCATAAGGAATTTAATTGTAAAGTTTTGTTTTGTTTTTTAAACCTAAGAGCAAGCCAGAAGGGAAATATACAGAGAAAAACGTGTTTAAAAAGAGATGGTTCCTACAGTGTTAACTATGGAGTGTGTAGCGTGACTCTGTAATGGAATATCATGGTAGGGGGTATAATACTGTAAATAAGATGAATATGCCACTTGTGGATTAATGGGCAACCTAAAGAGTGGCTTTATTTACATCTATGTGTGAGGTTCTTTTTTGTCTGTTTTCTGTTATTCTTGTGATTGGAATGCTTAGAACCTGACAGTTTATTAGGGAACTTTTGGGGGAAAAAAAAAAATCAGTTTCCTTGAATCTTGCTTTATGTGTTTTTTGTAGGATTAGTATAGTGTCATTTTTGACCTTAAAATTGATAGGTTGGTGGAGTTTTTATTAACTTTTTCTCTGGGTGATATTTAAGGAAGAGGTGGGTTCTGAAATTAAGTCCAAGAAATATAGCTATCCTTTATATTTTGTTATGAACATTAAGGAGCAGGTAACAGGCACCACATGTATCCACATTGCAATAGATTCCATTTGAGGTGATAACAGTTTTGTGAATATAGGATGTTTTTGAAAGGTTTGGGTACTGAGTCATGTAAACGATTACATCTAGACTGGGACACTTACGTAGGAGCCATTATCTCAGCATTATAACATGAGAACATGCAATAAGGGTAAATTCTAAGTGAGAGCTTTTTATAACTAACTTTTTTGTATACTCTTTAGGTTGCTGTGGATTGCCAATTAATAGTATTATTTAGTGCTCTTGAAACTTCAGAAGTGTGAGACTTAGATTGTTATGTACTTCCTGCTTCCCCTCAGTTGAAAATGTGTAAAACAGGTTCTTTATAAAAGGCAAATGGTATGCAAAAGTAAATTCAAAAGAGTTTGAATGGAACTAATGTTCACTTGCAGAAGGTCCATTCTCAAATTCTATTTGGTGAGTCTAATTGACTTCCAAACAAAAAAAATTGTAAAATATATTTTTTGAAGTATTAAGATTGTGTTATCAAATTTGATAGCCTTTTGCACCATTATTTATTGAATATTTACAATGTGCCAAACGCTGGGTTAAGGGTATTACACTCTTAACTTAAATCCTCGCAACAGTCTCATGAAGCATTCAACCCCGTTTTGCATACAAATAAATTAGAGAGATCAAGCAACTTGCCCAAGTTATGTTGCAGAACTGGAATTTGAACCCATACTGGCCCCATAGCCATGTACTTTCAACCACTGTGGTTTGTGAATTTTAGTACATAGAAATTAGGGTTTGTGTGTGTGTGTGTGTGTGTGTGTGTTGGGGTAGGGGGTTAATCTAAATAAAGTTCTCTGTGGTGCCTATTAAATGTTAACAATTTACTAACAAGTAGCCAGGATTTGGAAAACACAGAAGTATGAACATTGGCTGTATAAAATTAAGATATAGTAATACATTTTAGTTTGTAATCTTCTCTTGCACTTACAGTGTTTTTCCTTTTCAGCATTCCAGTGAGATGATAAAAATTAAAAATACCTCAATTAGCAACCGCAAAAAAGTAAAACTGTTAATTGAACCTTGTAATCTCCTCTTGCTGTCTGTTAGGTTTTTCTTTGCAGGCTTTGATTGTGTGTAATAAAACTGTTGCTTAGGGGCGCCTGGGTGGCTCAGTTGGTTAAGCGACTGCCTTCGGCTCAGGTCATGATCCTGGAGTCCCTGGATCGAGTCCCGCATCGGGCTCCCTGCTCGGCAGGGAGCCTGCTTCTCCCTCTGACCCTTCCCCCTCTCATGTGCTCTCTGTCTCAAATAAATAAATAAAATCTTTAAAAACAAAACAAAACAAAACAAAAAAAAACTGTTGCTTAATTAATGCCAGGGTTCTGAAGCCTTTGGATGCCACAAAAGAAAGTGGAGAAACCAAGAGGCAGCATCAAATAGCTTTTCTGTCATGTTAATTTAGATCTGTCATTCTTGTCCCAGTTCATGATATACAGCTCCCAACAGAGACTGGGTGAATTGAAAGAGAAGCAATAGTGAATCCTGTCTTAGGAAAAACACAAGTCATGACTGAGGCTCTCAGTAGGTTAATGAAGAACTGTTTTCAGACAATATTTCACCCCTAGTTTGAGCTGCCCTTGGAATGCATGTGGCTGTATTCATGTGACCAGCAGATGTGATGCAAAACCAAACTAATTGGTGATGTGGCATCATGGCTTTGTGGTATGTGCAGGAAAGATCCAGGACTGATGATGTCCATTGTGTACTATCATTGCAGAAAGCTGCTTGTGTGTAACCAGAGCGTGAGAGAGAACATCCTACTGACTTGTATTAATTTCTATTCAGAATGCTGAAAAACAAAATGGTAAAAATTTCCTTGGAAATTGGTAAAGTCTCCTTTATTTATGGACACACTTTTTTAGGAATCCGTAAGCTTGAAAAGAAAAAAAAAAGGTTGATAAGAAATGTTTGTTCATATTATCACTAAAAAAATTTGTTTCTTAATTTTAGAATGCAGAGTAATGAATAACACTAACAGTCTTCACTAAAATGAATTTACTTTTAAGGTGACTCTTTACATTCTCTTCTTTTTTCATTCTTTCATCCTCCCTCCTTGATTCAAGGAACTTTTTATTAGCTGGTTTTATATTTGTATTTTAACAAGAGTGTTGGAAAGCAGTGTTTCTTTCAGGGTGGGGAAGATTTGAAATCCAATAATGACAAATGAAGTCCCTTTCATTTCTGGCTGCATTCCCAGATGGTTGTGTGTATCATAATCATTGAACTTTTAGAGCCTGCTCACATTCTGTCTGGATTGCGTAGAATTACAACATCATATCTAAATTATACTTTCTGGCAATATTTAAAAGTGAAATAGACATTGCTGAGTGGAAGCACTGATATAATTTCCGGTGGTTAAGGTGTCAGTGAAGAAGGGAGTTTACAAGCATGGGAAAAGAGTACAGGCTTCAATTTGAATAGGTCTCTATTGGCCAGGGAGTTATTTAATGCTAATAAATACTGGTTTTAGAATAGATGGAACTAGGTTAAGTGTTTACAACCAAACCTTTCTCTTCTCCATTGAAGAGCAAGTTTCACCTACCACTGACCTACTTTGCTCTTATATGGTACTATAGATACAACGGTTATGCAGCCATGGAGGGAAAGATAAGTGAAGACCAGAAGAATTTTTTAGTGGGAAGTGCTTGGTAGCATGTTTCTTTGTTGGTAAGACATAATGTTGCCACAAATCATGAATAAATATTCTGAATTCCCTAATATTATAGCAGTTATAACCATTTTTAAGCCTCCTTTCTAAGTAGATATTTCTCTCCTGGCTTTCTGTATTGTGAACTTTACAAAACTGGCTTAGGCAGCCTATTAATTATTCATATCATAGCAACAATTAAAGCAAATTAAAAATAAAAATCGCCATATTGCATTTAACCGTGGGCAGCGCCAAACTGTGTCAGCTCTGGAAGGGCCTGTGGTGTTTCCTAAGTTAAAAGTGCTAGAGGGAGCTCTAACCTTGTTCAGAGTTGTGGCATGTGGGAACAATTGTCTGTATGTGGCCATAGGGTCGCAAGTGAAGATAGAGGCTAAGGCTGTTACGTGGCAGAAATTTAAATCTTTATTAGAACTCCCTGTTTCCTTTATATTAGAAAATAAGAGTTAGGACTGTCTGTATGCAATCAAACAGGACTTAATTCACCCTTATCCCTCTTTCTATGAATATAATCATCTCCTTTCTAACACAGTATTCAGGAGACCCTGAATTTGGCTCTGTGAATTTTCATAAAGTGAACACACCTGCGTAATCACGGAGTTTTTGTTTGTTTTTTAAGAAAAAGAAGGAAAGAAAAAGAACCTTACCAGAAGCCCATTCCTGTCCTCTTTGTCACTCCCCTCCCAAGGGTAACATTATCCTCACTTCTAACATCATTCTATTATTTTTGCCTGTTTTTAAACCTCGTATAAATGGAATCATACAACACATATTCTTTACTGTCTGACTTATTTCACCCAACATAATGTTTTTTAAGAGTCACATTGCATATAGTTCTAATTTTTAAAATTTCATTGATGTGTCGTGTTTCCTTATATAAATATACCAAATTTATCCATTTTGCTGTAGATGAACATTTGGGTTGCCTTCAGATTTTGATAACTACAAAAAAAATTTGTGTATATTTGTTGGTAAACATGTACAATGAATACATGCATCCTATTGGGTATGTATCTAGGAGGGGAATTGGAATTTCTAAACTGGTGTACCAATTTATACTCCTGACAGTAGTGAATGAAAGTTCCATTGTTCCGTTTCCTCACTAGCCAACACTTGGTATTTTGCTTTTTCATCGTAGCATTCTGACGGTGTATAGCAGAATCACGCTGCGGGTTTCTTTCTTTTTTTT